TTGCCCCAGGAAGAACTTTTCGATGAAAACGTTCTTATTCAAAATCATCTCTTCACCAGCATCCGAACGTAAGCCACGGAAGAAATCCTTGTAGTTTTCTGGAAATGCATCCCATTTGAACACAGATACCACACTCTCCATGTGAACGATCGCTTTAACTCTGGAGCGATGTTCATTGCACCAGTGAAACCCCAGTCCCGACCCCCAGTCATGGCATACAACAATCACTTTATCAGGGAGACCAACAGCCTCGCACCAAGCCGTCAAATATCGGTAATGGTCAACAAAGCGGTAATTATGATTTGCCAGCTTTGCTGAGTTCCCCATTCCAATCAGATCCGGCGCCAAACACCGGGCTTTCTTCTCAACGTGTGGAATAATATTTCGCCACAAAAAAGACGATGTTGGATTTCCATGCAGAAACAGTACTGTGTTGGCTTTGTCCCCGTCATATGCTGAGTCATAGTAGCTCATCTCCGAGTCCAACACCTTGACTTGACGGCATTTGGAGACCCACTTGTCCCATGCATCAGATGAAGTACTTCTCAACGAAACCGTGTACATTGCTGGCGAGACGTATTTGTTCTGATACCCTCGAGGTCCCAGAAAGTGAGATGAGAGCCTTGTCATGCGCTGCATGGTTTTGAACGCAGTGTAAGCCATTTTGTGCTTTCTTGGTTGTTAGTCACGGTGATTGGTGACCTTTGATGAAAGGTAGCTTAAAGGGTAAAAGTTCATCACTGTCGATTACAAAGTCCCCGCCTAGTTGTTAGTGACTGTGTCAATTATAAACAAAGATGTAGATAGATTATTATTAGATGTTGGTAGAGTATTCAGCCTGTTAACTACAAACAGTGTTAACTTCAAATAACTGAAATTACACCACATCCAGGTTGGTTCAGTTAAAGGGCGGTAGTCGTCGCGCTGCCCATGTGCGACATTTGTGTTGATAAACATTGATTTTCCCACAATCTAATGCGCTCTTCTAATGGAAATCACAAATATGAGGTTTGACCTGGTCGTGACTTGCACTAATTACCGCCGGTGACTTCTTTGATACCTTCCAATCACCTAAAAATACCTAATTAAAGCTTGGT